TATTGAAGTTGTAAAAAGGAGAATTAAGCAAAGGATCATTCGTTTCGAGTTTATTTTTAGCAGAACCAGGTTCAAGACCTATACCTGTTCATACCAAAGTTTATACTATTTTGTACATTTTGCTTCTAGGTTATTAATCTTAACCTTATCTCATGAATCATATATTATACAGTAAGCGCCACGCTAGTAGACACACGGGCACATTGAGATGATATAATCCTGGATGCTTCCTCTAGTTGCACTGTTTACTTTTATACCAAGAAGTAAACAGTGCATAAAAGTAAATAGCAAAAACTTGTTTAGTTAGTTTAATTGTAAATCGAGTATTTCTATTAAAATATCACAGATTTGTTTTGTTTTAATATTCTTTTGCTCGCGAAACCTATCAGAAAAACAATTCTAATTTAATATACTATTGTAACTTCACACAAGGCGTGAATTATTAATGATACTTAGAAAGTTTGTATTGTAAAATATGTATACTTTATATTATTTTAATAAACAAAACATATTTTCAAGGTGGTATATTATTTTATAGAACCTACATTACAATTAAGTAATTAATCAAAAGAATATAAAAATAAGCTTTCTGATTCTGTGTTTTGGAACAAAAACAACGAAATGCTTTCAAACTAAAAATATAAGTCAAGAAATATAAAATAATAAATAAATACAAAAAAAAATTGTACATACACAATTTTTATTAGTTTCGAATTCCACGTGCTTCGTAGCAGAAATCAGTCACACATATAACGCCATCCGCTGCCATCTGTAAACAACGCAACGGCTGAAAGTCACATGTGAGAACGAGCAGGATTAGCCCAGTACATCAAATAAGTCTAGCGATTAGGTACCCGTGTATATACTAGCGTGGCGCTTACTGTATATAATATTTGAAAATCATTAAAACTCTAAGTCTAGTAATTAAGCTCTCCATCATCAAAGTATACAGCCCAAAAAATAATAAGCCTCAAACAACAAGGGAAGCGTTTTACGACCAATTACAACAAGTACTAGATCATTTAGAGGAAAGATGATAATATTGGGAGACTTTAACGCTCGAATAGGCAACCAAGTAATACCCGGCATCAAACAAAAACATGACGAGAATGTTAAAAACGAAAATGGAGAACTGATGATCAACTGCACGAATAACGAACTAAGAATAAACAACACATTTTTGACCACAAAGACCAACACAAATATACATTTAATAACACCCGTGGACAAAGATATATTATAACTAACAGAGATATACATCCATCAAAAATAATCGACGTAAGATGCCTCAACTCAGCAGATGTAGGTAGCGACCATAGCCTAGTATTATGTAAAATAAGAATAATCCTGAAATACTTCCCATCCAAGAGAGCGGCGCCAACATAAACAAAAACAAAGTTGATGGTTAAACATGGAATCGACGGAATACTTATACAGGAAAAGAATATCAGAGAAGATCGCTGGGAATGAAATATTAGAAAAAGAGGAAAAGCTGGGAAAAACTGAAAAGTAATATAATTAACGCAGCAACAGAATCACTTGGAGAGAGGAAAGTAACGAACACTAACATATCAAAAAAGAAAACACCATGGTTTAGAAAGGAAGTGAAGACAAAATGTGAAGAAAAGAAGAAAACCGTTTTACAATACAGAACACAACAAACAAAACAGGCATACAACCACTATAAACGAATACTTTAGTTAGACAAATAAAAAAGGAACACTGGCAGTCTTTCTCAAAACAGATGGAACACAATTTCTACAGAACACAAAAAGAAATATGGAGAATGATCAGAGGACAAAGAAAAGAGATGAACGAACTAATAAAAACGAAACCCATTCAGAAGAAAACATGGGTTCGATGTTTCATCATTTCGATCCCTGTTTGCTAAAGGTGACGATGATGAACCACCAACACCAGAGGTGACGACAAACGATGAAATAAATATTGAAAAGGAATAGGTCAAGGAAGCATTAAGGATATTAAAAAATAGAAAATCAGCAGGAGAGGATAGAACACCGAACGAGCTCCTAAAGTACGGAGGACCAGATCAAAACAGAATTCTTCAAGAATGGAGATCAAGCATCCTAATACCTCCCTTTCAAAAGGGAGACAAATCGGACCTGGAAAATTGCAGAGGAAATAATTTATTAAACACAACACTAAAATTAACAACCAAAGTGATAACATATAAATTGAATGAAATTATAACACTAGCAGAAGAACAAAACAAGGTTTTAGGTCGGGAAGATCATGCACCGACGATATATTTATAATGAGGCAAGTGCAAGAGAAATCACTAGAATACAACAAACCAGCATATGTATGTTTCGTGGACATTACAAAGGCATTTGACCGTGTCAAATTAAAAGACGTTATCCACTTACTGTATGCAAGAGAGATACCCCTAGGAATAATCAAAACGATCGAAAATATCTACCAAAACAACACAATAAAAGTGAAAATAGAAGAAGAACTAACCGACCCTATTGAAGCTGGAAATGGGATAAGATAGGGAGATTCCCTGAGTCCTCTATTGTTCAACCTGATTATGGATGAAATAATAAAAAAAAGTAAGAACAAAAAAAGGATACCAAATGGGAGGAAAACAACTTAAAATAATCTGCTATGCAGACGACGCAATATTACTCGCTCAAAGTGAAGATGATTTACAACGTATGCTGCATCAATTTAATATAACCGCCAAAAAATTGAACATGTTCGTTTTCCCCACAAAGACAAAATGCATGGTTACAACAGCAAATTTACTAAGATGTAAATTGCAGCTGAAAGGTCAGATAATAGAACAAGTGATGGAGTTTAAATATCTAGACATCACATTATCTAGCTACGGAAAGCTCGAAACCGAAGTGGAAGATCAAGTGAATAGAGCTAACAGAGTCGTAGGCTGCCTAAATGAAACCATACGGAGAAATACGAATATCGGGAAAGAAACGAAAGGCAGAGTTTACAAAACAGGCATCAGACCAATAATAACATACGCGGCAGAAACAAGAGCTGACACAGAGAGAACAAAAAGGATGTTAGAAACAGTAGAGATGTAAACACTTAGAAAAATTGATGGTAAGACACTATGGGATAGAGCTAGAAATACAGATATACGACATAGATGCAAGGTGGAGAACATAAAAAACTAGGTAAGAAATAGAAGAGTAGAATGAAACGATCATATAAGCCGAATGACAACTAATAAAATAGTAAAGACGGCAAGAGACGGTTCCCTAATAGGAAGTAGAAAGACCACGAAAACGATGGAACGACAACTTACTGGAGGCACATTGAAAAACATACAGAGTCATGTCTATATAAAAAGAAGAAGAAGAGAATTGTAGTAATTGCATTTTCAAAGTTTGCGTTATTTTTAATGTAAGTACTATAAAAATTATGTATTTATTGGTTGACATGTACATGTACGGTATCATAAAAATGTCTTAAATGCATGGACTAGATTTTCATGGACCTTCTACTTGGACAACACATGCTAATTTCTAAAGGTCGTGAAGAGCAAAATGCAGAAATACTAGAGTTTTCTCTGTATTATTACAAAGCATTACCAAAGAAAATTATGAAAATAAGTTTCAGAATATCTGTTTTTTTTTATCAAGTTATTTTTTATTATTAAGTTATTTTTATTTAAAAATAAAATCCTATATTATCTCTGATAATATGATATGTATTTATAAATGTATATGTACAAATGCAAGTGTCTATATTTTCTGACAGAAAATATATTTTTTGATATAGAATACGCTTTTATTTGTAATTTTGTGGCTACATTCGTTTTCCATTACTTTTAAATGAGTTTATTCAAAACATACATTTTGAATTTGCCGCCAAATGTTTTAGTTCAAGGACCGAGCACATGTAGCGCTGGAAACTATCTTCTTGCTTCTTACTATAGGATATAGCATAATATAGAGAGGTATGTACAATGCCTCTTAATAATTCCTTTTTTGACGGCCAATTTAACCTTCAGCTCAGTTGTATTGTACACTAATTTACCGGTAATATCTTTTCAACTGAATAGTTTTTCAGTCATTCATGAGAATTATGTGTTTGATGACATGTTGATAGGTGACGATAGCATGACACATTTAGTGAGAGCTGCCATTGACTTGGACGCATACGTCATCTTTTTTAAATAACCTTTAATCACTTTGTTGAGGTAGTGAAAATATTATATAAAAGAACCAACACCACAGTCTGCCAATAATTAAAGAGACCTACAAAGCACAGGATGATATGAAAAGAAATAAAAATTTTAAGAAAATTATAGACAATCCAACGTTTCAGAATATAATTCACTATAAATTATGTTTTGACGGATAAAAAAATATTTAAAGTGATCTTCAGCATTGCATTGTCTATATAATACGCCAAAACATACCTAAACAATTACTACTGTAGATATCTCTCAGATTTAATACCAAACAAAAACAATAAAGCGTTTTTAATAATTTTCTAAGCCACTACTTTAATTCTGAGATGTTTGTGGAACATACTGGTGAGTCCATAATCTTAATTAAATTTGTGGATTATAACTACTCTACTGATTTGTTCCAGACGAATTTATGCAATACAGATTTATTGGCGATGTTTATGAAATATTGGAAGTACCTACAGGCAATAATCAATATTCTGATGATAGCATTATGATACGTTTTTAAGTTTGGGGCTAGAATTTTCACAATTTGGGTAGTGGTTTGGAAGTGGTTAGCATAGAAAGTAGAGAGATATTTTGTAGCCGAAGAAGTAAGAAGGTCGTGAACCAGTAGAGTTGGATTACTGATTTTGAATTGTATTTCTGACTTTTATTAAAACGTTTATTATACTGTTATAGGTGTGGGGTGAGCATTTTACTAAACAAATCGACATTATTTTCTTTTGGTATTAAATCTATCAAAAAAGGTTCATTCCCCTTTTCAAAATCATACGAGAATTTGTAGTTGAGTTTAACCAGTGTCCCTTCAATTATTTACCTGACTTTTCATATCGCCTTTGTTCGATACAGGTGAAGAGTCCTTTTGTTTAGGCGGTGCGCTAAGTTGCGCCTTAAGAATGGGCGAGGCGGGAGAAGAAGCCATACCGGCTTCCGCCGCCTGGTTATTGTCAGCTATGACCGTCAGAGTATTGGCCTGTCCCTGCGCAGGCGTTATTTGTACGGGTTGTACCGAAGATTTTCGGCGCACCAGTGGAGTTTTAGTAGGAGTTGGGATTGTCAAAGTTTTGGTTTGGGGTATTGAGGAGGGAGGAAGATTAATTATGAGGGGTTTGTCTCGCACCTTGATACCGTCGTAGTACTGTGGATCGGTCGCGTTTGTCGGCTTCATCGGATTCGGGCCCACGGTGCCGCCAAAAATAGATCTGAAAATAAATAAAAAATCGTTTTCTAATGGTACAAAATACAATTATAGTTTATAAACAATTAGTGAGAGTAGATTAATAAACAAAAACATTAAAATTTTGTTACCGTATTCACGTTCTGTCATCTAAAAAATAGCCGAACAAGATTGTAGTGTCTTCTTTTAAAAACTGTTGTTTTAACAGAAAATGGGATAACTCTAATATAATTGTAACCTGAAATATAAGTTTTCCGAAACCCTTGGAAGCATAATTTGCTACGACCGTGACGCTACAATAATAGATATTACTATTACCGTCTAGAATGCTAAAAAATTAAACATTTTCAACATTTTTTTTGTGTCATCTATTACATATGACAATCAAACTTTTTTTATATATTATTATACAATTTTTCAAAATTACAAAAATGTTTTTCTTTTTAATCCATTGTTCCTTTATTTTTAAGATGGCGCCAATAATTACTGCTCTATGGTGGATAGTTAACCCGCCGTTACACGCGTCTTGTATTTTAAAATAGTTGCAGACTACGAGTGTTACTCTCACCTCTTATTTCGAGCACGAATGAATGTCAGCATGTACAGTCCATGCTCTATTTATTAGACTCGCAATAAAAATTTCAGGTTTTGTGATTTCAATCGCACTGAAAGTATGTTCTCTAAGGTGTTGAATGGGTTGCATAACTATTGTGTACATAGTTACATAGAAAATGGTATAATTTTTTTAGAATTGTCAAAAAATTACGGATGACAATAGAATGTGCTCGAAGTGTCAAGTAACTAATTGTTTTACATTTTGAGTTGTTTTGCTTAAAACATAGATTTGTGGTCGGTTTATTTAAAATCTGTACTAGTGAGTATTGCATTATTACATAAAAGTGTTATTTTTGATTTTGTTTAATTCTTAATCACAAAACAAGACGATAATCTTAGATTGAAATTTTTAGATGGGCATGTCTAAAGATCTTTGTGTTGAGAAAATCTCGTCCATTACTGCTCTATTAGAGAATATATCATAGTCAGAGTCAAAAACTCAAAGAGAAGCGATCTCTGACGTCAGTTCGGAAGGGCTGGTGTGGCAAAAAACCTTCTTTCACTCCCAGGGCGCAACAAATTTTAGAAAATTAGGCTGTAACACACAGGGGAAAATATGAAAAGGGGTGTGTAATAAATACAGTTAAATATCTTACCTCAGTAATAGAGACAAGACCAATATAAAAGGGTTTTGCGGACAAGACTGGTTCCATAAGTGAACGAATGATTTGGTAACAGCCATAAGATATTTATACAGGATGGAGCACCTTGTCATAAGGCTAAAAGTATTAAATTTTTTTGTTAGAACAAGAAATTCCGCTCTTACCATCCCGGCAACTCATCAGATATGAACCTCATTGAAAATGTTTGGGAGTGCGTAAAAACCGAGTTGGCCAAGGAAATAATTACCAACAAGGTTCAGTTTATAGAAAGAATCATTTTCGCATAAATTGAGCGGGGGTTGTATAAAATCGGTTCAATGGTTTATGCTAACATATAATGAAAAGTCATATAAACCAAAATTTTGTTATTACTATAATAAAATAAAGTGATAAAATATTGCAAATCAAAAGTTTAGAAATAACGAATAAATAATAAAATATATTAGATATTAAACAAATAAGATAATGAATACACAAATGAAAAGTTTTAAAGGTAATGTACTTATGTTCAGTACTTTCTCTAAGCCTTTAGGTTCTTCCTCTTAGGATAAGAGGCACACTTATCAAGATTCTCGTTTTATTTCTAGAGGCCCTGCTTCATCTCAAATTCCCAAATGATCTGTTGGTTCTTGACGCGAATCCATTTTACTAAAAGATCCAAATTGACAATGGCAGTGGCTTTCTAACCTAACAACAATATTGTTTTAATGATATACCTTACCGTAAAAGATACGACCAGCTATATGAAGACAATCCTTTTTCGGAAGCAACAATACAGGTCGGGGAGGAAGTGCTACATGCGATATCCGCCAGCAGAACGGACAGGTGGTGCAAGCTGGTCACGAGTCTAGACATGAAACAAAACAGCAGATGCGCTTGGAAATTAATTCGGAATCTTGACAACAATTCCGCTGCTCCGGCACCCAATCTGACAAAAGTCACACCCGATCAGATAGCCCATCGTCTCCTGATGAATGGTGAGACGACATCAAAGAACAAAGTGAAAGTACAACGAAATATCGACGAAGAAGAGGATGTTCGACGGAGGTACCTCCGTTTGTCTGGAGGAGATGAGAGGTGCGATCCACCAAATGAAAGATCCTAAAGCGGCTGGCCTAGACGATATACGAACAGAACAAATAAAGCACGTTGGACCAAAAACCCTAGAATGCTCGTAAAAATGATGAACTGTTGCGTCCGTACATTCCAAATCCCCAAAATCTGAAGGAAAGCTAGAAGGGTGGCCCTCTTAAAACCAGGAAAGCATCCGCCGGATACAAAGAGTTTTAAACCTGTCTTTTATTTGTGTCACCTGTTCAAGGCGTTCGAAAGAATGATACTGAACCGGATCGCTGAATCTGTAGACACATTATTCCTGAACAAGCAAGGTTTAGACCCGGAAAATACTTCTGCAGTCAACCTTTTAATCTCACCCATTGAAGATGGGTTTGAACGGAAATAATTAACAGCAGTAGTAATTATTAACGGCTGCTGGTAGAACTCGAAATTACAAGGGATTTCCGACTAACAAGGTTAGTGAAATGTCTTCTCCAGAATAGACGCTTCTACGTAACGCTCCCGTACAGAACAGTCGGTGGAGGGATAAAAAAAATGGACTACCACAGGGAAGTGTCCTCGCTCGATTGATATACAACATTTACAGCAACAACCAACCTAAAAAGCAGCAAACAAGACAGTTTATTTACGCGGATGATACAGCTGTGGCAGCTCAGGGAAGTGCCTTCAATGAAGTCAAATTAAACTGACAGATGCCCTAAGACTTAGCACTATATTATGACGAAAACCATCTGAAACTCAGTCCTACAAAAACCCAGGTGTGTGTTTTCCACCTTAGAAACAAGCATGCTCGAAGGACACTGGAGGTGGAATGGCGTGGTCAGATGCTGGAACACAATGAGACGCCAAAATACCTCGGCGTACGTCTGGATAGAGCTCTGTCTTGATATAACTGTTAAGATGTTAAGAAAAAAGTAAGCGCCAGAAATAATATCATCCGCAAACTAACAAATACAAAATGGGCAGCACAACCACACACTCTCCGTACTTCTGCTTTAGCATTATGTTTTTCTGTCGCCGAGTTTGAAGCACCAGTGTGGGAAAACTCTGCTCACGTTAAAAACGTCGATGTTGCGTAAAATGAAAAGGTTCGTATATCTGGTTGCCTGAAACCGACACCTATCGAAGAGGTCTACCCTATAGTTGGAATCGCTCCACCTGTTATCAGAAGACAGGTCACGTCAGATATAAAACGAAAGAAGCAGGAGACGGATCGAAGATATCCCTTGTATGACCACCAAGTTCAGCCAAGTAGACTAAGTTCTCGGAAAAGCTTTTTGAAAAAATCACGATCCTTTCCGGAAGAGCCAAAGACGCGCCGAATACACCTATGGCAAGTGTCAGCTTACAACTCATTTTGCCCTCTCAGAGGAAGTGGCTGCACTACACAATTTGCCGTATCCCACATGGAAAGCGCTAAACAGACTGATTCTCTACCCAATTCATACAGCAGACCTTCCTGTTTGCAATACCATCCCTACAGCAACGTACCCAGCCGATACGGCAATTCTATCTTCACATTCAATTTTAGATACTGCTTCCCAAATGATTCAGGCAAACCTTGACAAGATACAAATTTAGCAATGGGTCGGGCATGCTGCTGAAAAATAGATACAGATAATAACAAACTGGAGATTAATACAGAACAGGAGAGGAGTGGGCAGACCGCAGAAGAGGTGGACAGATGATATCAAACATATCGTGGGAAAGCAGTGGATGGGAATTGCTAAGAGTAGACATGACAAACATGGGTTTAAGAATTGGAGAAATACATGCTCACTATCTCATTAAATAACCAGCAATTGCGACAAAATGATGATGTCAAATACCTAACCATGTACCTTGACCATAGATTAACATGGAAGAAACACATTCATGAAACAAAAACAACTGGATCTCAAGCGCAGTCGACACTATTGATTAATACATAAAAGAGCACATCTGGCTTATTAAAACACCGTAGTTAAGTTGCTTATTCTATGCATATGCTAAATCATAAGCAACCAACTATGGGGATCAGTGCCAGGGTCCAAAAGTCGAGAAATTCTGATCAAAAGTTCTCCACATCATTGTGGAGAAATGAAAACTGAGAGATTGCAAATTACTTACAAAAATATGGTAGATGACTAGAAGATCATCCAATTAGCCTAGTACAGAACTTCATAAGGCCACCAAACCAAACACTCACAATAAAATTCCAACTGAAGTGTTGACATGTATGATGCTACCTATAAAGCCTCAATACTTTCAATAATATTACTAAAAACAGTTTCTCTGGATAATATTGTTGGTTATGGTGTAGCCCTGTCTAAATACTCAAAAGATCAAGGTTGTTCCATAACCAGTTTACTATAGGAGGGGTGTATCAACAACTGTCAAATAAGTATGTGAGAGTTGTCTTCTTAATACTCCATGAATTCACCATTGCCCAAATGGTGTGCATAACTGCAATTTGGCAAATATCTAATTCGGTTAATTGAATAGTATCTAATGTTATTTACAAATAGAGCAAATACTTCCAAAGGTTTTTAACATCTTATATTTTATAAACATGTTTATTTTGTAAACATGAGAAAACCATAAAAGCAAAAAACAAGACCTCAGACCTATATAAACAAAACACAAAACATTTGGTGTAGACTGGTGGTGACTGAAGAAAAATAATTTGTAGATATTAAACAAGTAAAAGTAACATGAAGAGTATAAATTGTTCTCGGTCCTAAGAGCAGAACAAGCAATAACAAACCTTTAAGAGTGTCGTCACCTTCAAAAATGAAATGCTTCTAATTTAGAAAGGAGCTTGTAGTTACCTCTGAGAAGTGTAACAATTACAGAAAAACATAATTTGGTTTTATGAAAGTTCTTGGAACAAGAGATAGAAATTGTTCAACATTGTAGAGATATGAATTGTAGTATATCTATATGTAGTAAATGTCATTTGATAAAGTTCAATAAAAAATGCTGAAACTGCTGCAAGATAGTGGAATGAACAACACTGACCAGGGCATAGTCAAAAACCTATACTGAAATCAATCAGCCTCCCTTAAAATCAACCATGAAGAAAAGAGGAAGTGAAAATTAAATGGGACAGTCACTTAGAAGATGTATTGTAAAGGAGTGACTTCTTTGCAAGTAGGACCTCATCCACAAATGATTGTCGAGCCAATTATGATGATCTTCTTTTTATGTACACAAGACTTTCTATTTTTCAATATGCCTCCATTAAGTGGTCATTTCATCCTTTTCGTGATCTTCCTACTGATTGTCTTCCTATTGGCGAACCGTCTCTTGCCGTCTTTACTGCTCTATTTGTTGTCATCCAGCTTATATGATCGTTCAATTCTACCCTTCTATTTCTAGTCCTTGATGTTCTCCACCTTGCATCTATGTCGTATATCTACTTCTAGCTCTGTCCCATAGTGTTTTATGATCAATTTTTTCAAGTGTTTTCATATCTGCTGTTTCTAACATTCTTTTTGTCCTCTCTGAGTATCTCCAACGGACAGACCATGTACAGTATTGTGGGAATTAATGGAATCATAGGCTGTTTTAATGAAAAAACAGTTTATTTAGTAAAAAACTAAATTTTGACAAAACTATACAGGTAAACTTACATCATTCAGTAGGAAATATGTCCCCCTTTGGATGGAAAGATAATGTGAACGAGTATGTAAGAAATCTTCACAGACAAGCCATAGGATGGATGGAAATTAACAGTTATGGTTAAACGGTAATTGTAAGTTTTTAATTATGTATTCTTTCACAAAAGATATTTAAGTGTATCTGTTTATTGATCATAATAAAACTGATAATGAATTTAAGTTAAACTGATATGAATATTAGTTGATGAGCAAGTGTGGCGTGTTTAGCAACAAATATCAAATCAATGTTCAATCAACTCTTAAAATCATATACATATTATAAAACTGAATATTTTTAATGACCAAATCGCAATCAGTCATACCAAATAATAAATCAACAACACTTACCGTACACATCTTGGAAAATGCAGTGGGGAAATCACTCCCTTCCTTCCGATGGCTGAACAGGAATTCAAGTAATGTCTGTACAATTCTTGATGGTCTACTTTGCCTGCGACACAAGGTTCGTACGTAGCCCTCAGCCATGCCAATGCGAACTGTTCATTTTCATGGATAGCTTGTTGATGAGCATGTTGCTGTTGGATCATTTGAAGTGGTGTCATTGTAGTAGATGTAGAATGGATTACAGATGAAGTCGGCGGTGGTGCTGTAAAAAAATGGAAAAAATTGAAAATTGTAAATGACAAAGAAAAAGTCTTACCCTAAAATTTGGGAAAATCCTAACCTAAAATTTGGTATACATGACATTGGAGGCTAGGATGTATCATTTACCTAAATAATTACATACAAATTTAAAATTCAGAAAAGTTACATAAGATTCTTAAAATATAATGTGTAAAAACAGTTTGATGATTCATGTCATGTGTTGCTGTTTAAAATGACCAAGCCATAGCAGAATGGTTCAGTCATATCGTGCTAGGAAATCTTGAATGTGTTGCCTGTGTGAGTCCATTTCAAATTGGTAAAAGAAATAAGAATAAGACTTACACACAATCTATTTAATTCTACCACCAACAACCAGTTTCGCATACTACAATGTTACAAAAATCCACATTAGGGAGCCGTCTAGTACAGAAATACAGCAATTATACCAATATTATATGTCTGTGATTATTAACACGAAACTGATTAAAGGAGACAAAGTAAAACAACAAGTGGCACAAAATAAAATTGAAATTAAATTAGAAAAAAAAAAACAATAAATACTACTTACATGCCGGTACAAGAATTATTATTTAGTCATTTAGAAAACATAATTCAAACTATCCTGGATTAGCTGATGATGGGTGATCATCGGTTTTATTGTAGCTGTTTGACAATTAGAGGGGAGGTTCTTAAGGGAAGAAATACTGACAAATAAACTAGGAAGTAGGTATTGTGTAATTGTTTGTTGAAAATAATGTTATGTTTTATATTATTTAAAAGTTATTTATATTTATTCAATAGGTATATTTTTGAAATGTGTGTTAATTTATTGAATTATTTATTAAAAACGGAGAGCTACATGATAATAAATGAAGTTAAATGTATAATTTGTGGGTGTGTATAATTTTTGGGCAGAAATGTTGTGATGTCAAAATATATGTAAATTAAAAATTAAAAACACTTAAGGGACAAACAGAACACATTCAAAAAGACAAAACAGACATTGGCAAAAAAGCTAGTTTTTTGTTGTCTAATAGATTTTTGAGAGGTAAATTTGACAAGCAATTGTAGGTTAAAGTTCTTCTATTTATTAGTATTGCAAATATGGTTAACCATCTTTATGATTTGAAGTAAATAAGTAACTGAAATAGTGATTAAATATAGATAGTTGTAATCTAATATGAATAACATTGGCATACTTTTAACAAAGACTAAATGAATTAAATTTAACAGTTGAAATAATTTTTTTGTATCAGAAACTTGAAAATTCAGAATTACAAAATTAAACTTATAAGTCAGTATTTAGTGATAAAAAAAAAACTAAAAAAAAAACAACTAACAACAAAAAACTAGCTTTTTGCCAGTTTCTCTCCTAGAAGTGATGAAGTACCACTAAGTGCCCCCTTTTTAAATTAAATGTCTGTTTTGTCTTTTTGAATGTGTTCTGTTTATCCCTAAGTGTCTTTAAGTGTTTTTAATTTTTAATTTAAATATATGTATTTTGACATCACATTTCTGCCCAAACAGAGACCAAATCAATTTATCATAATTTGATAATTACAAGTTGGAGTTATTGCACACCCACAAATTATACATCTACCTTCATTTATTATTATAAAGCTGTCTGTTCTTAATAAATAATTCAATAAATTAACACAAATTTCCAAAATATACCTATTGAATAAATGTAAATAACTCTCAACTAATATAACACATCACATTCTTTTCAACAAACAATTACACAATACCTACTTACTAGTTTATTTGTTAATATCTCTCCTCTCACGACTCTTCCCCTCTAATTGTCAAACAGTTACAATAAAACCAATGATCACCGATCAACAGATAATCCACGATAGTTTGAACTATGTTTTCTAAATCACTGAATAATAATTCTTGTACCGGCATGTAAGTAGTATTTATTGGTTATTTACTAATTTAATTTCAAATTATTAGATTATTTTGTGCCACTTGTTTTTTTTTCTTTGTCTGCTGTAATCAGTTTAATTCATATTAATAATCATAGACATATAATATTGGCATAATTGCTGTATTTCTGTACTAGACAGCGCCCTAATGCGGGGGGGGGTTTTTTGTAATTTTAGCATTTAATTTACCATATACCGTAAAACCTGAAGATGCATAGCAAATTGTAGTATGTGAAACCGGTCGTTGGTGGTAGAATTATATAGATTGTGAGTAAATCTTGTTCTTATGTCTTTTTCCTATTGCTAGGAAGTTATAGAAAATTTGCAACCTGTAATAGATGAAAAACAAGCAACTAAAAAAATTGCAATAGAATTAACGGTTTTTCAGGAAGTTCAACATCACCTCTAATTGTTTCCTTGTAGTTTTTTTTAAATTGAAGTCAATATTTTATTATTCTTATCTACTTTTTCTTGTATTATATGTCTATGGTGAAAACAGCATGTATATTTAGAAAGGTTAAAAAAGTACATTTACTTAAGGTGAATTACACATTACGGTAGACAACCCGTTATACTTAGATAATACGTCATACCGATTTAATTTTTTTTACATAAATGTGTTAAAATTAGAGTTTACACCATGTAATTATATTGTAACTATATTGGAATCAAACTACCAAGGTAAGAGTTGACAAAAAGAACACCCGAGGCATCAAAACACGGAGTCAGCCAGGGTTGCGTACTGTCACCACTACTCTTCAATGTCTACAGCGAAGCAGAATTTAAAAAAGCACTCAGATTCAATATAAGGTGTATCTATCAATGGAGGAGTTTTGAATAACTTGCGTTTTGCAGACGACAAGTAATAATGACGGATAACAACAATGATTTACAGTACTTAATGCAACAACTTCATGAATGCTGTCATGAATACGGACAAGGATGAATTTGAAAAAAATCTAAATGCATGATCATGATTAAATCAGAATATGCAATCATACAATTGATTGTTGAGGATAGGAAATGAAGCTGAATATTGACTATCAAAAGAAGAAAACTTGAGTATTTAGACCACGTTATAAGAGGACAAAGATACTCATTTTTGCAGATTATTATGCAAGGCAAAATTTGAGGAAAGCAAAATGTGGGAAGACGAAGAATATGGTGGCTTAAGAACTTGAGGGAATGGTTTGAATGCAGTAGTGTATTTCTTCTTCTTAAAGTTCTATCTCCTATCGGAGGTTGGATATCATAACGGCTATGGTCACTTTGTTGGCTGCTGCTCTGAAAAGTTGTAGTGAACTAGAGTTAAACCATTCTCTAAGGTTCCTCAGCCAGGAGATGCGTCTTCTTCCTATGCTTCTTCCTTGGATACTTCCTTGCATAATAATTCTCAGCAGATCATATTTTTCTCATCTGGTTATGTGACCCAAATACTCTAGTTTTCTTCTTTTTATGCTGTTCATAATTTCTAACACCTTATTTAGACGACGTAGTATCTCAAGATTGGTAATCCTTTGAACCCACTGAATTTTTAATATTCTTCTGTAACACCACATTTTGAACGCTTCTATTTTTCTTATGTGTTGTTTCTTCAATATCCAAGCTTCCATTCCGTATAGTAAGATAGAAAATATGTAACATCTTAGAGCCCTCAATCTGAGATGTAACTGAAGGTCTCTGTTGGTAAGCATTGTCTTCATTTTCACAAATGTTTGCCTTGCAGTTTCAATTCGGACGTTAATTTCTCTGCTTTGGTCATTTTTGTCATCAACCCAGGTTCCCAGATATTTGTATGTCTCTACTCTTTCTATTTGGGTAGAGAATGGTTTGGAAGAACTGGAGGGAATGGTTTGAATGCAGTAGTGCATTTCACTATTACCTAATTATTTCACATAAATGATACATCATAGCCCCCAATAAAGAAAAAGAACATAATGTAAAAAAAAACAAACAAAGCACACCAGATCTTTGGTGTCAGATTTGTGAAACGGAAATATTACCTAACTCTTACTTACTTGTTGTTACTGGTGGTGGATTTATTGGCATCAACCGTTGCGGTACTATGGGAACCTGCCTGACAGGTGTACTGGGTGCTGATTTAGGCGTCGGACTGCTATTGACTATCGGAGTAGTTATGCACGTCGTTACAGGTGTTAGATTTGTATTATTGGAGTTAATCGAGGTTAACATCGAGCTGGCGGTACTGACTACTGTAACCGTTGTGCTGGTCACTGAAACTGACTGGTTTTGGGTGGTTGGCGTTGTTTGAACTGGTGTTTGAACCTAATAAAAAAAAACAAAACTTAGTAAAAGAAAATAACACAATATATTTTATAAAAGACTGTCAACTAGTACATAACAATACACAATAATTTCTTTATAATGCTACTGTTAACAAAGGAAATGGAACAATATGTTAATGTAGTAAACGACTCCTGCCGGACCTCTGAGATTCCAAAGCTTGGAGCAATGCAAACAATGAAGAAATGGCTGCAAACAAGATTTATACCTCTCACCAAATGTGAGATTTTTTTATTAAATCTTGCCCAAGTACTTTCGCTTCCTAGAGCATCTTCAGGGGCATGTGAAATAGGCCAAGAAACCTTTTTTCAAGTGCAGGACGAGTAATTAACTTTGAAAATACTTGAAGATGATGGTTGATAAAAAAATTTATTATATAATGTTTTAAACTTACTTCATTAAAATTGTATTTTTATGAATGTTATAAACATTAAAAAATACATTTACACAATAATGGACAAAGGGCAAACAGTTCAAAACTTTTTTTATAAATTTTAAGAAGCTGCATAGTGGGTGACAGCAGGAGAGAGAATGGCTCCTGGTCTTAATGGAAATGTTAAAGTGACATCTGACATATGACAACTTGGATAAGCAGTCACAATAACGGTGATGGGATCTGCAGATTTCAAAATTCTATGAAACTGAACATTGACCACAGGTCCAACTGACACTACTATAGAAAGTTGACTAATGAAATATGAAATTATATAGATAACTTTATGTAAACTGCATAATCCAGATCTCACACTCAAAACCTGTCAGTAATAATTTGGATGTTAGTTTGGGGACAACTGATGTGGATATAGAGTATGAATGTTAGAACTAGACTAAATAATCTATTAGATAGTGGGTGGTTGACTACACTAAAAAGGTCTACCAAGCATTGCTAATACTGTAGAAAAGAAGAAATTAAAATAGTCAGAATTAAAAATCAAAGTTGAAAACAAAGTGTATAAATGTAGAACCACTAGTTCAGTGAAACCCACAGTCAATGGGAAAGCCACAAAATTAAAAATGTCAAAGCATTACTCAAGACCAACTGACCAACAGTGGGAGATGTTAAAATATACAGCTGTAAAGATGGTATATCTAAGTTACGAAAAAATATGGAGAGTAATAAACGGCAACTATAGATCAATTGATCACAAACAAGCTTGTTTTGCAAGTTATGGATAAATGAAATATTAATATTAATTAACACCCCTGGTTGGGTGTATTCGTTTCTTACTCGGCACAAAAACAATCTCAAAAAAAAATGTGTCAGAACATCAAAAGGCAGCTGTGTTCCCCGAGATAATTAATAAGTATTTCGACGAGTTAGAAAGAGAACTTCCCAGAAAGACGTTCCCGTAAGTCATATCATCAACTATGATGAAACAAATCTTAGTGACGACCCAGGAAAACGTAAAATCATCACCTTATGTGGTCTATAAGGCTCAACATTTATACGACAGCTGAAAGGAAGGAGATTCGATAATCTCTCATTTTAATCGTACTAAGTCAGGTCACTATTACACGGCGTGGAAGCTTGGGCGTTAACAGTCAGCTTGTTACGACGTTTAGAAAGCTTTGAGATGTGGGTATTTCGTCGCATGCTGAAAATTCCACGGACCGACCGCGTTAGAAATGAAGAAGTTTTAAGGCGTATGAATAGGGAACGTAAACTCACAGAAATTGTCAAGAAGCGTAAAACGTCTTATCTTGGACACATATTTAGACACGACAGATATAACTTCCTTCAGCTTATTATAGAAGGGAAAATAGAAGGCAGACGCGGCCCGGGTAGACGACAAATGACCTGACTGTGCAACATCAAAGATTGGACAGGATTAGACTTTCAAAGTTTAATAAGGAAAGCCCAAAATAGGGAAAACTTTGCAGAGGTTATAGCCAACCTTCGCTAAGAAGACGGCACCCAAAGAAGAAGTCGGGTTGGTTTGATAGTTTTTGTTTCAGTGACTGGGTTGAGTCCGTTGCAATTCCCTTTTTCAAGGACCTAGAAGGGAAAAAATACTTGATTGGGGACAACGTCGTCTCACTTGTCAATCGATTTAGTCCAATTATGCCAAAAAAAAAACATCAAGTTTATATTTTTACCAAGTAATTCCACTCACCTTACTCAGCCCCTTGATGTCGCATTCTTCAGACCCATAAAGATTATGTGGCGCAAAATAGTTGAAGAATGGAAAACAGGACCAGGCAGGAATGAATCCACAGTAGCTAAAGACAAGTTTTCTAGACTATTAAAGAAACTGGTTGATAGTCTGTCAGAGGAAAATGCCAAATCAGGGTTTAAAAAATGTGGCATCATGCCTTTGAATCTCACCAAACTCCTAAGGATGCTGCCGAACTCAGATCAATGATAATACCAGACAATCTGGAACACAAACGCCTTGTCAGGTTCTGTCCACATGGAAGGGATTTATGACACTTTTATAGAAGTTTTGAAGACATTAAGGCAGTCTGATATTATGAGACAAAAGAAAAAGAAAACAAAAATGAATGTCGAACCGGGAAAGTGTTGTGGCGACATATTTAGAAGAAGAAGAAGAAGAAGAGTGTAAACCTGAAGCAGGACCATCAGGAGTTGAGAACTTAGAACTGAATCCCTCAAAAGAAATTTCCAGTCGCATTAAAAAGTTAAAACGAGAATCTAGTGCTTCAGAAAACTATCTCCAAGATGGTGACAAGGAGCTAGTGTTGTCATATCTGATGAAGAAACGAACACTTGCGTTAACACCGGAGACTTCTTAGTTGTCAAAGTATATGGCAAGACCAACCAATCTTTCAGGCTCTACTTTACTAAAGTTGTCTATCATCAAGATAGCGGTACGTAGGAATCTTTTTCAAGAAGGTTCCCCAGGCTTGAAAATTTTCCGAAACTGAAGAGGAAGCATTTTTAAGCCCGATGATATTATAAGACAGTGGTCTGTATGTAATGCAAAGACCAAATACTGATAAGTTTAATGAGCCATTTGCTTAAGATGTTTCTTCACATCCTTCATACAAGAATGTTTAGAAAGCTCAAAGATCTAAGTGGTGAGGTACAATTTGGTTTCAAGAGTGGACTGGGTACACGTGAATCAGCTTTCTGCTTGAATACGCTTGTACAAAACTGCATGGATCAACGAAAGGATATAGTCATAGCATTCCAGGATTATGAAAAACCATTTGTACCGTAAAATATGACGCAATGATAAAAATGCTACACAACGCTAACATTAACGAGAAAGATTAAGAGTTATCCAGAATCTCTATTGGAATCAAAAAGCACGAGTGAGACTGCATAAATCAACCAACACAGAAGAATTTAAAATTTTAAGAGGGGGTGCATTTTGTCTCCTATGCTCTTCAATCTCTATGTGGAGATCATTTTTGCAGAGGCACTGGAAGGCTCTGAGTGTGGAATAAAGGTAAACGGGTTCCCGATAAAACATTCGTTATTTAGTTGATGTTAAATAAAATAAATACCATAGGAAAAATATATGGCTTGAAGATAAATGCTGGAAAAACTAAATGAATGACAATAAGAAAAAACGCACTTTTAAGAATACAACTGCAAGTAGATAATCCTCCAATCGATCAAGTGTAAACATTTAAATACTTGGGAATGATGATGAATGACCAATGGGATCCTCAACAAGAAATAAAATGCCGTACCGAACAAGCAAGACAAGCTTTTATCAAATTTAAACCGCTACTATGTAACCGCAATATTTCCTTCAATCTCCGCTACAGGATGGTTAAATGCTATGTATGGTCCATATTGTTATACGGCATGGAAACATGGACGTTAAGAGTACCTTCCATTAATAAGTTGGAGGCCTTCGAAATGTGGACATTTCGAAGAATGTTCTGCTTATCATGGACAGATAGGGTGAGAAACGAGGAAGTCTTAAGAAAGACAACGAAAAATTGGATACCTCGGCCATATTCTGAGAGAAAAAAATACGCAAGCCCTCAACTAATCATCCAGGGAAAGATTGAAGACAAGAGTAGGTCGCAAACAAATTTCGTGGCTACGGAACATAAAGAACTGGACAGGCATAAATAACACAGGCGATCTTTTGCATGTCGTAAAAGACAGACGTCTGGCCTTAGGGCGAGCGCCCACCAAAGTGGCGTGGCAGTGGCAAGTAGCAAGTAGCACGCGTCTAGCATAATGTAACCAATCCTAACGAATGATTAGAATGAATGACGTTACTGTCATTTTGGTGTAAACTGAATCATTCGTTTTCATTGGTTACATTATGCTAGACGCGTGCTACTTGCTACTTGCCACTGCCACGCCACTTTGGTGGGCGCTCGCCCTTAAGATGATGAAGAAGGTCTGTATGTATAAAAGTGAATACCTCGTCTCAGTTTAGTATTAGTTTTAACAATGATCTTATATTTCAACAATAAATTTTTCCAATAAAACAAACTTTATATTTATACGTTTATGTTACTTTACACCTTATACACTTTTTACCTGTTTCTATTGATCCTACAAATGTATGAATAGGAACACAATAGTTTTTCATATTGTTGTTCCCACCAAGTGGGGTGAATAGGAACACCATGTGATTTTTTTGTATTAAGTATTAGTTTTCTAATTCTTTAATACCTAAATATCAAAAGAAGAAGGTAAGACCCAAATGACAACGCATAAGTTTTATGTTTGCAACATGTGTTAGTGGCTTTTTTTAGTTGAACGTTGAAAACCCCATTTTACGATATAACAACAATAAAAAATAGCTTACCTGTGTTTGCTGAGCACTTCCGCTAGGCAAAGTCTCCACCAATTTCATCCCAATGCACGCCTTAGGTCCATAACTTTTACCTTCGACAGTAATTAAAGATACTAACGTGTCGATCACACCATGATTAATAATGATATAGTTACAAGATTTCTCTCCTAGTGACGACAACGAATACAGACATTCCAAGGTGTAGATCAACAACATTACGTCATGGAGCGTGAGGAAGGAACACACATGTTTGTAGACGTGTTTCTGTAATAACCTCTGCATCACGTCCTCATTCTGTTCGTTCTGGCTTAATTTGTTCAATACTTCGAGGGACGTTAGACACGCAGCCCTGTCTTCGCTTTTCAAACCGTGGTTCACAACTTTCAGCAATTTAGTAGCTAGCAGATCACTGTTCAAGTCTCTGATGATGAATTCCGAGGAAATATTACAAAGCATATCCATTCCTAGATTGCTTAGCACATTCCAACGGGAAATACTGCATAATAGTAAGAATCTTATAAACGAAGTGTTTTTCACTAGAATCGGAACGTTCTCTTCAATAAAACTAAGATTTCTTAGGATGGTAGCGATTTGTAGTACCCTCTGACCCACATAGTCCTGTGTTCCTAACGAACGTTTCAAACAAAACAATTCACTATCGTCCGGAGTCAATTTTAATTTAAAACTATCACAATTCTCTTCGATTATCTCACCATCCACGCTGTCTGCATTTTCTTCAGAAAGTTCTTCTGATTGTCCCGAAATGTTTAGGGCGATAATGGCAGCAGCTTCTTCGTCCTGGCCAGCAATCGGCGGTTCCGTTCTTGAAGGTGTCTCAGCTTCTACAGCTTTGAATTTTGTTTCGTTTGTCAGATCCAGATATTCTTGCGATTCGAGCACATCTTTCCAGAAGTTGTGGATGGGTTTCTTTCTTATGACGTTGTAGAAGTGAGTGAACAGTTGTCGTGTGGAGTCTGGAAAATTGAAGGTAATGTTAAAAGATTCAAAAAGAGTAGAGATGAAATATTTTTTACATATTTAAAACACTTATGTTGGGATGTTAATTAGATGTTACTCGGGATATTTTTTTGAGTCTCTAGTAACTGTTGAATATTGGAATTTTACTAATCTCTAATAGTCTGTACGTTAGGTTGAACAGCTTTAACGTTTTTTTTTTGTTTAAATCTCACATTTCTCCTAGATCTTTCAATTTACCATTCTGGATGAACTTCTCCCAGAAATCTGTAGACATTACAGTGATAGTTTATTCACTTTTAATAGAATTTCTTTAATAACGTTTCAGATGTTGACTTCATTGTCAGCATTGAAGCGGTCACCATTACAGGGTGAATTTTTAGTGGGATATCGGTCGATAATTCCATTGTGGTACAAGATATCCAAAAAACTTATTTAGAAAAAATGTAGGCAATGATATTTTCCACATGGAAAATATGTGGAATTCTACAAAGTGATTAATAACTGCGTGACATAGCAAACATACAATTTTTTAAATGGGAGACCCTATGTAATTTTTTAAATTTGTATTCTCATAATTCTTGTTCTTATAGTATTGGGTTTTGCATTACTATACAGAGTATTTAATAAGTTATGACCATTTTTATTCCGAAATCTCTATAAAATCAATACTATGAATACAGTGTGTCCATTTTAAAACTTACAATAGGCTATATCTTACGAACAAAAGCCGAGATCGAAAAATGATTGAAACCGTTTCTAGGATAGTAAGGGGGAACTAAAATGACGTGAAACTACAAATTTGTTAAAAATGTCAATTAAGTAAATGTTTAAAGTGGGTTCCGTTGTTTTGTAAACAATAATAAAGCCTATTTTCAAATTCTGCACGAACATTGGCAAATGTTGTTCTAGTATGTAATAGCCCGACATGTTTGCGTAATTCTTTCTCGCAATTCCCCGAGTGAAGCAGGTTGAGTTTTATAAACAACTGACTTGAGGTAACCCCATAGAAAAAAATCAGGTGGCGGTAAGTCTGGTGACCTCGGTGTAAATAATATCCAACCAGTGTCTAACTGGAGCTGCATAGTGAGGAGGTGCTCCATCTTGTTGGAAATGCAGCAAATCTTTGTCTAGAGCTATAGTGTATTTTTATGTATGAGAGAGTAATAAAACAATAAATTATGTATGCTAATCCCTAAACTGTTGATACGGGTGACTCAATGAAAAACAGATATTTGTCAACAAGTTTACAGAAGTATTTAGGAAAACAATTTTAAATTGAGTATGACCACCAGGTATAAAGGTTGGAGCAGAATAGAATACAATAGTTGTGAGGGTTACTAATCCCTAAATAAGGTTGCCAGTGTCGGAGTGATGGAGGTTAACAGGTACTAATGAATTTGCAAGAAATGTAAGATGTTTATTTTATTGGTTATATATAACCAATAAAAGTTTAATAAGTACCTACCTACTTGTAAAATAAAGTTTAATTCTTTAGATAAAATAAAACGTTTTATTTTATCTGAAATGAGTGCATTCCACGAAGTAAGGGTTTCAACAATCAAACATTTAATTCTTTAATTCCAGGAATCTACGACAGTAATTGACTAGATAATTACCTTCTAAACTTATTCCACAGAAAATGTGATAGTGGGTTTTTCCATTTTGTAGGAAGGTCCAAGTGGCGTATTCAAAATGCTTAACAGTTCACTAAAAGTAGGTACTTCAGTTGCAAGGTGCAGTTTATTGTGTATACTAGTGTTATGGAAAATTTGGAAGTGCCGTGTAAACGTCGAAAAATTGGTCCTTTAACCGTTAATGAAAAAACATTAATATTTAATTGTTTTAAATCATTTACAGACAAACGTTTATGTGAAAGTGTTGATGAGACCGTTGAGTTAGTTAGCAGTACACTTGGTGTTGGGAAATCTACGATTTACAGAGTTATTAAAGAAGAGAAATGTGGTAGTTTTCAAATGCCACGTAATGCTCCAGGGAAACCAAAATTTCAAATAGAATATCATTTTAAAGAAGGACTTCGACGGAAAGTGCATGAATTCTTCTTTAGACAAGAATTTCCAACATTGGATAAAGTTCTTGTGTCAATTCGAGATGATAAGGATTACCCAGAAATGAGTCGAAGTACGTTATGGAAACTTTTAAAAGAAATAGGCTTCCGCTGGAAAAAGAATCCCAGAAAGTCTATTTTATTAGAAAGAAGAGATATTGTCATTGTTTAAATTCAAATATGGTTGTATAAATTAATCAAGACATTTTGTCCTCCCCCTGTATACCTTCGATCCCTATTCGTACCGTTCGGGTATGCTATGCATCCCGTAGGACACAAGCGCTTAAGTCGTTGAGCAGAATAGACGCAAGACACAACCCTCGCGAGTGCGTCGATGCATCGAAATCGGTTGGTTTTATAGTAGTGAATTATGGTACCTAATTAGCGGTTCGGTAAGTTCACCTAGTTTAATACCTTTGTTTGTTTTTTGATTGTTTTTGCAACCATTTAAATTTTATATTATTTGTTATTTGCACCTATGAGTGAAAGTTCATTTATCTTGCCAGAGCTATCGAAGGAATAGCTGGTATTAATCTTAGTACTATTAATTCGTAATAGTACATTATTTTGTTAAACCCCCCACATTGGCCTATCTCGCCGAATTTGAACTCATTTGTTGAAAAAAAATATTTTGTTATATTATAAATTTGAATGGTTGGTTTCGTCTTATGTCGTATTTTTTTATCGTTTTGAGGGTTGATTAAGTTGCGTCTCTTGTCGAAAGCTATTAACTTCGAGACCCGAGAATAATTTATGACCTTTTAAAGTGCACCATATGGGATTTTTTAAAAGGAGATTATAGTCGTTTTAATAAAGTATCGAATTTCAAATCATTAATTTCGAGCATTTCGGGGTTTTAGACAACATTTTTGTACATTTTTCGTTTGTATATTATTGGAATTTATTAGACATTGGCAATGGACAAGTTAGAAGAGAAAAACAGAAAGCTCAAATTTATGAGAAAGACTGTTTTAAACGATATGCAAATAATATTCGATTTGGGTTTTAAATCGCTCTCGGATATTTCGATCCGACCTTTATTTAAAATCAGGGTGGAAGAATTAGATTTAATACGCGATGAATTCTTGAAACACCACACAAATATAATTAGTAATATTCTTGCTGTACCAGACGCGGATACGAGGGTCGAAGAAAATGTTCGGGAATTATTTTTGGAACAATTTTATAAAATAAAATTATTTAGTGCGGAGTTATTTGAGCCACAATGTGAAACTCCAGAACCGTTTAGGTCGGTAGTAGTTCCAAAATCTAACATTCGCTTGCCTAAAATAGAACTGCCTAAATTTAACGGTGATTTTAAGGAGTTTAGTTCGTTTTTAGATTTATATAATTCGGTTGTACATAATAACGCAGGACTAGCAGAAGTAGAAAAGTTTAAGTATTTGAAAGGATGTTTAGAAGGGACTCCACTTAGTTTGATTCGTAATTTGCCAATAAATAGCGATAATTATCAAATTGCTTACGATTTAATTGTTAAACGCTACACAAATGTTCGTCGGTGTGCGACCGCGCATTGGGATGCGATCATGGGCGTGCAGAAAATATCGTTAGTTAATTCGAAAAATCTGGCTAAATTAGTAGACACGTTTTTAGAAAATTTAGCCGCATTGAAAACATTAGGCCTTCCGACAGAACATTGGGACTTTATTATGTTTAATTTACTTTTGTCGAAACTAGACGCGGATTCAGTAAAATTATTTGAATTAGAAAATAAATCGAATAAAATCCCGTCATTTCAAAAATTAGTTGAGTTTATTGAAACTCAGTACATTGCTTACGATAATTTGAATAGTAGCGTAAGCGAATCTAAGAAATCGTCGCGGGCCCCAACTTATACGGAGCCTAAGGGTAATTATAAACATTCGAATGAGTCAAGGCATAATCGTAGTTCATCCTTTGTTACAAATTCGTCATTAGTAAGCTGTGCTTTATGTAAGCAAAGTCATTTTCTAAACCAGTGCTCGTTGTTTTTGAAAAAATCTCCAAAAGAGAGATACCAATTTTGTAAAGAATCTTCCTCGTGTTTTAGATGTCTTAATCAGGCTAATCATTCTGTCAAGTCGTGTCCAAAGTCCTTTAAATGTAGTAAATGTAATAGTCACCTTCATAATAGTTTGCTGCACTTCGATAGAAATCGTTCCAATAGTCAGTCGTCCACAGAAAATACTAATAATCCAGGGGCATCGGGAGTCGAACAGAATTCGCCTGAAATATCACATTGTGCTGCTAGTTTTGTAGGGAGGAAAAACGAAACAAAAAAGGAAATCTTGCTCGGTACCGTTTGGGTTCATGCAATTGATAGTAAGGGGTGTAAACAGCCCTTGAGATGTCTTTTAGATTCGGGTTCAATGAGTTCGTTCATTAGTCGAAAAGCTGCCAGTAGATTAGGTTGGCCTAAAACTCCTTGTTCGTTTGAAGTTAACGGACTCAATTCGATGCAAACGAAGCTGAATCAAGGTCAAATAAGTTTTTCTATCCAACCTCGTCATCAGGAGTCACCGGTGTTTCACTTGGAAGCTGTTATTACAGATCGGGTTTGCTCGGATTTGCCGAGCACCAAAATTGACATATCGACGTGGAATTATATCAAAAATTTAAAGTTAGCCGATCCCGAATTTAACTGTAGTCAATCTATTGATTTGTTAATTGGTTGTAGCATATTTTCGAAGGTGTTGTTAGAAGGTAAAATTGAAGGTAAAGCGGGACAACCTGATGCCCTAAATACCGTTTTTGGATATATTTTGTTAGGACCTACTAGCACACCTAATCTTTCGTCGACTTCGCTTGTTTGTCTTTCAAATATTGAAGACCCATTAGATTCTTCATTATCGAAATTTTGGGAACTGGAAAACATACCGGAAAAGCCAGTTTCAGAACCAGAAGACGCTCTGTGCGAAAACATTTATCGGG